CCGCGTTCTCGAGTCCGCTGTGAGTCGCCCCGCGTAACCGTAACGTGCGTCACGCCGTCATCTCTGGATCTCTGGATCTAATTGCCAAGATCGTGAATCGTGCGCGCGAAACGGCAGACGATGGCACGAGCGACCTGAGAGAATTTCGCGTGCGTATCGGGAGTACGAGTGCGAGTTTCGTCTTGTAAATTCGAGTGCGCGAAGGTAAACACAAACGCCAGCGAGAGCGGAGGTCCGGCAAGCGGGGTCCGGCAAATCCGGTTTCCGGAAGTCCTCCGAGTGGAAGAGAGAAGATTCCCCACGTCCCCCTCGCCGAAAGGAAGATCGCCCGCAGAAGATCGTCCCGTTCTTCAGCAGCGCCCGAAGAGGATCACCGTACGACGACGGCACGGCTCTACGCACCGCCGGAAGCTGCGGGAACCCGACGGGATTTCATGTTCACGAATTTCAGTAAACCAGGTAACGATAACGAACGATGCGTGTCTGAAACGGCTGAAACCGAGTGCAGCCGGCGACGATAACAAGCTGCACGGAATCGCGACGTGCCAGACATGTCGCAGAGTCGCAAAAGTATCCCTCGCCGTGGCGGGACGCGCCGCGCTTTCGCGTCGCTCTCTCGCTGTTTACGACGAATCGGGAAAGGGCGGGAACGCCGCGACTCCACGGGGGGATTTTATCGATCGCACGATCGACGGCACGCGCGTTTCCGCCGTCCGACTTCTCCCGCGGCAAAGAGTGGGCGGGAAAGCGGACGAAGGGACGGCGAAGCTTTCTGCGTCACGACGTCGCGTTACATCACCCTGTTTCCCTCGAAATTGCCACAGAATTGCTCGCCACGAACCATCCTCGCTCGCAGCTTGTATTTTCTCTCGCGATCTTTCCATACAGCACACTTCACCTGACATCTTGAGAAAAACACTCTTAAGATGTTTGGGGAATGTATAAGGACGTTGTCTGGATGTATTTAGGAAACCCTGGAAATGCTGGATGGATCGCTATCTTTAGAGTTGACAGTGAGAGGCGGTGTGAATAAATTTGCATAGACAAAAAGTACCCATAACACAGATTTTCCGGTCGGCGACACATTTTCTCGTCTCCGCGCAAGTAAACAAAATCAGTCGTGTGTCGAGCGCGCGGAAAGTTTCGAAGGGTAAATAGAAAATTGGACCAAACATGATCGCTGCCTCGAGAATTGAGATTGGGAAAAGTACACGGGGGATCGTGCTGAGAAAATAGAACAAAATAAAAAATAAACAATCTAATTTTATAATCAAGACTCATCATCTTATTTTTCG